ATAACTGATTTGTTAAATCAAATGAAAAATTGTGTTTTTGATTGGTCCAGACGCTACAATTGTTATGTTTCTTCTTAAACTCTCACAATTACATTTTAATTGATTTAACACCTTAAGTGACGGGAAATTTAAAAACAGAAAGTCATCGGTGACGTGAATATCCTTCACTACACTGAAATACACGACCATAAGGGAGTTATCACTGCACTCCCTGGTCTTATCCATGCTAGGCTGCATTGATGAGTAGGGATCTCTTGCCTAGAACAGAACCATAATGGAAATCTGAAACTGTATGCTACTTTTCAATTGACTTACATAACTGATAATTAATTAAATCATTCATTAAATGTCTCTGTACTCATTTTAAACAATGTGTAATCACTTTTGTTTTGTTATTATAGATTGGCCACCTGTAATCTCACTGGCCAGCATTGTGAAATTGTGTCATCAGCTCTTCAATCCTCAAATTGTGTTCTGAGAGAGCTGGACCTGAGTAACAATGACCTGCTGGTTTCTGGAGTGAAGATGCTTTCTGATGGACTGAAGAGTCCAAACTGTCAGCTGCAGATACTGAGGTATTTAAGGGATTTACCTAATGTGTGTGTGAGTTGAAAATAAAAACATTCAAATACACAGATAATGTTTACTTTTAGGATAAATTTGATTATCAAAATTAAATTCACAGTTACTTTTATTTGTTATATGTATCACTGAATGTATGAGAAAAGAACAAGAAACAATGTTTAGAAAGTTAATGTGTTAATGCATGCAATCAATTGTTTAATTAATTTAAGATTTAATTACTTTGAATATAAATATTTATTTCATCAAACATTTTAACAGTTTCATTCAGTTCTGTGTGATTTTCTAAAAACTGATCAGAATTACAGCTGATTTGAGCCTGCTGCAGAATTTCAGCACCATTAACATCAATTTCATGTGACAGTATTAAATCTAAAGTATGATTAGGATAATAAGTAGGCCCTGACACGTGTTGTCTGACACCAGTGGGGTTCAGAATGTCTATAAATGCTGATCCCAATGCATCTTTTTCATTTCATTTACATTTACATTTAGTCATTTAGCAGACGCTTTTATCCAAAGCGACTTACAAATGAGGACAATAGAAGCAATCAAAACTAACAAAAGAGCAACAATATGTAAGTGCAAATGACAAGTCTCGGTTTGCAAAACGCAGTACACGCTATAAATCCATTTTGATTAATTTGAGTAAAAATGTGTTTTCTTTACCAAGAAAGTGGCATATGAAAATCACTATTTCTGTCAGGACCACTATCGTCAAAGATGATTGACAATTAGCATACAGTATGGTTCTGTTCTGAGCAAGAACTCCCTGCGCATCCATGCAGCCTAGCATGGATAAGAGCAGGGAGAGCAGCGATAACCCCCCAGGGTAAACAGAACAGAACCAACATAAATGTATTGCAGATATTGTTAAAGTTCAATAATTTTATGTACACATTTTAGAATTAGTCTGATTCAAAGGAGAATCTGAAAAGGCTGAATCCTGACTGACAGAGGAGGATTTGGGGATGGAGGAGGTTAATTAGCTATTGAGCAATGCGAAAACTGCTGATAATACTGAGGGACCTTATATATGAATGCTTAGATAGGTGTCGTAATCCTATAGGTTGATGGGGATCAGCTGAAAGTCAGCTGATGCGAGCTTGACTAACGTGACCTGCCAGAACTAACACTA